AAACAAAATTAAAAAGAAAAGACAAAGAAAGGGAGAGAGAGAGAAAAAAAAAATGGATCTTCACTCCATCGTCCTTCTCGCCCCCGCTATCGCAGAGTGGCACCGCACTCTACTTCATGGGACAGGGGTTGCACTTGCATTCCGTCCCACAACAGCATGCGGCACTCTTGCACTGGCACTCAGCGCTGCCTGTAAGAGAGAGATTGTTGTTGGGAAGAGGAGGGAAGGAAGAATGGAGGGGGTAGAGAGGGTGGGAGAGGGAGGGGGTATTGGAGGGGTATGGGAGGGAGGGGAGGGCGGGGAGGGAGGGAAGGAAGAGAGGGTATGGAAGGGTCCATGGGGGAGGGGAGAGGGGAGGGGTATGGAGGGAGGGGGCTGGGAGGGAGGGAGGGAAGGAAGAATGGGAGGGGGAAGAGAGGGTGGGGAAAGGGGAGGGGGTATGGGAGGGAGGGAGGGAAGGAAGAATGGAGGGGGTATGGGAGGGGAGGGGAGAGGGGAGGGGTATGGAGGGAGGGAGGGAAGGAAGAATGGAGGAATGAGGGAGAGAGGGGTGGGGGGAGGGGGAGGGGGGGGGAGGGGGGAGGGGGAAGGGGAGGGAAGGGGAGGGGGAAGAGGAAGAAGGGAAGGGGTAGAGAAGGAGGGGAGGAGAAAGGGAGGAGAGGGGAGAGAGAGGAGAGAGGGAAGAAAAAGAGGAGAAAAGTAGGGATGAAGGAGAAGAGAGGTGAGAGGAGGAGAGGGAAAGAAAAGGAGAGGGAGAAGAGAGAAAGAGGGAAAAAAAAAGAAAGAGAAGAGAATATGAGAGAGAGAGAGAAAATGAGAGAATGAGATCGAGAGAAAGAGACAGAAAAGAAAAGAAAATGAGAGCAGAATAAGAGAAAGGGAGAGAGAAGAGAAAGGAGAAGGAGAAACTGGGGACAGAGAGAGTTTAGACATATTAATTTACTAATATCAGAGGCAAGTGTTTGTGTGCCTGATAAGAGCAATGAGCTTTGGAGATATACCGAGTGAGTGTGTGTAACGTATATGTGCGTATGTGTAGGTATGTATATGTGTGTGTGTATGCATATGCGTGTACGTGTACGTGTATGTATATGTGTGCACGTATAGGTATATATGCATAAATATGTGTGTTGTGTGTGTGCGTGTGTGCTGTGCGTGTGTCTGTGGTGTGTTAAACGTTCTGAAGATAACTGGTTTAAGCCCTCCCCACCCCCACCCCCCACCCCTGCTAACTAAGTGCTGCAGCAGTCACGGGCGTCTGACAGGGGGGTGGCGGAGGGAGGGAGAAGGTAGGGAGGGAAGGAGGGGAGAAGGGAAAGAGGAAAGAGGGAGGGGAAAGAGTGGAGAGTGGGAAGAACGGGTGGGGAAGAGGGGGGGGGAGGGGCAGAGGAAGAGAGTTCAATAACAACAAATGAAAAATAAAAATATAATAGTTACAATAAACTGAAAATGTGTGAAAAACTAACCTACTAAAAATAATACAGTAAAGGAAAAGAGGAAGAGAGGAGAGGGAGAGGAAGGAAAGAAGAGAGAGGAAGAAAGAGAGAGAAGAGAAAGAGAGAGAGAAGTGAGAGAAAAGCGAAAGAGAGAGAGAGAGAGAGAAAAGAGAGAAGAGAGAAAGAGAGAAAGAGAAGAGAAAAGAGAAAGAAAAAATAGAAAAAAAAAATAGAAAGAAAAGAAAGAGAAAGAGAGAGAGGACCACCCTGGCTTCCACCTCCCAAGTATATCTATCTTGTCAATGCTAGCAACAACGATAAGCGTTATCTCACACACACGCACGACCTTGCCAGTTACTACGCAACATCGTTATCTCTTTATCTATGCACTTCAAACACTCACTAAGCAACACCTGAAGGAAAAATCGGCGAAAGATAACAGGAAAGGTGGAAAATTAAAGAAAAGGAAAAGTCAATTGAAGAGGAATGGATGAAGGAAAGGGAGAAGAAAGAAAGGGGGAAGGAGGAGGAAGGAAAGAGAAGGGAAGGAGAGGGAAGAAGAAATAGAAAGAGTAGAGAGAGGAAGTGAGAGAGAAGAAGAGGGGGGAGAGGAGGAGAGAGGGAGAGAGAGAGAGAGGGAAGAGAGGGAGAGGAAGGGAGAGAAGGGAGAGAGGGAGAAGAGAGAGAGGAGGTGAGAGAGAGAGAGAGAGAGGGAAGGGAGGGAGAGATGAGAGAGAGAAGAAGAGAGAGAGAGAGAGGAGAGAGGAGAGAGAGAGAGAAGAGAGAGAGAAGAGAAAGAAAGAGAAAGAAGAAAGAAAGAAGAAAGAAAGAAAGAAGAGAAGAAAAGAGAAAGAAGAAGAGAGAGAGAGAGAGATTACAGGATTAAGATAAACACGACCACCAGCTGAGTGGTGATGAGACAAAAGATAACATGTTGCATCATCTGAAATGAGTGAGTAAAAAACAACAGAAATGGGGCATCACACATTTCAGTGAACCATGTACTGTGCGTTACATGTACCCACGAAATGTACAGAATTACACCCTTACAATACCTATGCTCA